GGCAGAGGTGGCAGGGGCGGCGGTGCAGCAGCGCTGGCCGGGGGAGATCAGGAAGAGGAACAGGCCGGCGGGAAGCAGAGCTGGGGGAAGGTGCAGGGGGGCTGGCCGGGGAAGATCAGGAGGGCAAGTGGGGGAGAACCTGCTGGCCGGGAAGGAGGGGGGTGAGCAAATTGGCCGGCGGGGAGCGGGACTGACCTGGGCACTTGCTGCCCGTCCTGCGCAGGGTCCCGGTGACACACGAGCGAGAGGGAGGCTTCCCCTCCTCCTCACACTCAACCGACTGAGGGGCTCCAGGCCCCCTCTCCTAGCCATGAACGTCACTGCCCCCCCTTCGCCTCCCGCCGTGGCTCTCGGCTGACTTCTGCGCTACTCAGCCAGGCCGCCGCGTGACAGCAAGAGGCGCAAGTGACCATTTGGGCTCCGCGCCCCCCATGCAGCACGGGGAGTGAGGAGCCCAAATGGCCATTTGGGCTCCACGGTCCCCCAAGTGAGAGGCAGCAGGGGGAGGAGAAGTGAAAGAGGGGGGTGGGGGGGAGAGGGGGGGGGGGGGGGAAGGCAGTAGGAGGAGAGAGAGATGGAGCGAGAGACCGGAGGCTCAGGAGGGAAGACCGACGTGGAGGAGAGACCTGAAAATCCTGTCTTATGACGGGCTAATTGGCTAGTTAATAAAGAAAACATTCAAACCTCTTGTTTTGGACATAAATTAATATTTTACCTTATATAAACGAACATGAGAAAGTTAAAACTCTTGATCTGTTTAATCATTTTAGTTAAACCGATCTCCCCAGCTGCAGCACTAGCAAAATGGCTCAGGGTAATTAATGGAGAGTTTCCATTAGCAGCTGGTGGTCCGCAGAAAGGTTTGCATTGAGCCAGGAGGTCCATGAGCCCAAAAGTTTGAGACCCACTGATCTAGAGCAGGGGGTGGGGAACCTTCTTTGGGCCGGGGGCTGCTGACCCATGCAAACATCAGTCGGGGGCTACACACAAGTGAGAAGTCAAAAAAACCCCAAAACAACCCTCCCTGTCATGGCCCCTGGCTGAAGGAGAACGACTCCCCACATGCCCCACACACCAGAGCCTCGTGGGGCCCAGGCTAGTAGAGTGTGTGTGCTCCAGTGGCGGCCCGTCAATACAGGCGACATAGGCCGTCACCTCGGGCACCAAGGAAAACGGCCGTTGAGGGCTTTGGAGGCGCACGTCTCGCCAAGGGCTCCAGTTGCCAGCAGCACGTCTAGGGCCGCTCCCGGTGTGCTGCAGGCCCTCAGTAGGCGCAGGCTCTCCAAAGGTAGGAGGGGAGACCTGCGCCTTGGGGGCCAGATCCAGGCAAGCGGCCTGGGGTTCCCCACCCTGATCTAGATCCTCCCTGACAGGTATTTAGCTAACCTGCTCGTAAAGCTCTCCAGTGACGGAGAGTCCACAGCATCGCTAGCAATTTATTCCAGTGCTTAAAAACATCTGAACTGTCCGGGTGGTTCCTAACGTCCAACCTAAGCCTCCCTTGCTGCAATTTAAGCCCATTGCTTCTTGTCCTGTCCTCAGAGGTTAAGAACAGTTTTTCTCTCTCCTCCTCGTAACAGGATTTTATGTAATTGAAAAAAGTCATCTTCCCCCTCCGTCTCCTCTCTCCCAGACCAAACAAGCCCAGTTTCTTCATTTTTCCCTCATAGCGCCTGTTTTCTTGACCTTTTATCATTTTTGTTGCTCATCACTGGACTTTCTCTGGTTTGTCCACATCTTTCTTGAACGGTGGGCCCCAGAACTGGTTACGTTAAAGAACAGCTGATACCTAGCTTACACGCTGAGTCAATTCAAAGCAAAGGTCTCTCTCACCACAATCTTATGGCCGACTCTCTTCCAGAGAGGATCCTTCCCCAGTTCAGTGCTGCTTCCTTTGTTCTTCACATGCTGTCAGGACAGTGGGTAGAGAAACAGGAGGAAATCGTCTGGGGCATCTGCTCGCTTGTCTTATCGTTTTCCCTCTTCCCTGAGAATTATCTTCACCTGAGGGTCAACAGAAAGTTTGTTCGCGTGAAAACCTCAAGTTAATTCTTTGTCGAGATACCGGGTTCTGCCCCCATCCTCTCCTGCCGAAGCGTGGCCACTTACCCACGAGATGGTCCATTTGATTTTGTCAATCCCTGGCAGAAGCGTCATGTCCTTTTGTCTCTGGAGGTCTGGTTTATGACTGCTCTCCAGACTTGGAACATATGGAAGAATTTTATAACTTTACACAACTGCTGCCCATATTTCACAAGGATCAAAATGATTGGCAAAGTATGAGTTTTCAGATGATACCTCCCAAGGCCTTTGTGCAGAATGGATCATAGTCTAGTAAAAAGGAGGAACATAACTAGGGTACAGTCACACAGACAACCCAGACTCGGAGGCAACCTGGCCTTATGTCCCCTGTGCTCTCTGCCAAAGGAGCCCTGGGCTCTGGGGTTACACATTCCCAAATCTTTGCATACTACCCAACACGGCCCTGGAGTACTTACACCCCAAAGACTGAAAGGCAGCAATTCCACCCATGTCAGAGACATCCTGCTACTGCTGCATTCCCCCACATCTGCCAGAGGTCTTCAGAGCAGTCCAGAAAGAAGCAAGAGCCTCACAAAAGAAAGCGGACGGTCACTGCCCTCCTTTATCTACAGCAGTAAATTTGACATTTCCATGGAGAGCTACCAACCCATCTCAAATGACCTACTAGAGGTAATTCAACAGCTGTGCCCAGTCCTCCCAAGCCCCCATCCATCTTCCCTGTCCCACCAGGGTCCCCTCCTTACAGCTAGACAGTTAGTCACTCGAATCTCTATATCTCTTGGAAGGTTCCTCCCCACTTTTGGGGACAGGGATTTTACTCCCACCGGTCTCTGGTCTCCAAGAAGTCGGGAACTCGGTGTCCAATATTAGACCTTAGGGATCTGAACACCTTCGTATGCCAATGTCCTGGAGTTGCTGGAGACTGAGGTAAGGCTGACTGCTCTGTAGTTCCCTGGATTGTCCTTCTTCCCTTTTTTGAAGATGGGCACTATATTTGCCTTTTTCCAGTCATCCAGGATCTCTCCCGATCTCCATGAGTTTTCAAATATAATGGCCAAAGGTTCTGCAATGACATTTGCCAACTCCCTCAGTACCCTCGGATGCATTAAATCCGGACCATGGATTTGTGTACATTTAGCTTTTCTAAATAGTTCTTAACCTGTTCTTTCCCCACCAACGGCTGCCCACCTTCTTCCCATACTGCAGGGCTACGTCTAGACTGGCCCCTTCTTCGGAAGAGGCATGCTAATTTCTAACTTTGGAATAGGGAAATCCGTGGGGGATTTAAATATCCCCTGCGGGATTTAAATAAACATGGCCGCCACTTTTTTTCCGGCTTGGGGAAAAGCCGGAAAAGAGCATCCAGACTGGCGCGATCCTCCAAAATAAAGCCCTATTCCTACTTGAAAGTAGGAATAAGAGATCCTCCGGAATAGGGCTTTATTCCGGAGGATCGCGCCAATCTAGCCG